AAGAGAAAGACATACAAGGAATCCAAATAGGAAAAGAAGAAGTCAACCTATCACTGTTTGCAGATGATATGATAATAGACCCAAAACCCCAAAAACTCCACAGAAAAGCTAATTCAACTAATCAGTTCAGTAAAGTGGCAGGATACAAAATCAACACGCAAAAGTCAGTAGCCTTCCTATACACAAACAACAAATCTGAAGAAGAAGAAATCAAAAAAACCATCCCTTTTATAATTGAAACAAAATAAATCAAATTCTTGGAAATAAATCTAATGAAAGAGGTAAAGGACCTATACAAAGAAAACTATAAAACACTGTTAAAAGACATAGAAGAAGACACAAAGAAATGGAAAGACATCCTCTGCTCATGGATTGGAAGAATTAACATCATCAAAATGGCCATCCTACCAAAAGCAATATACAGATTCAATGCTATTCCAATAAAAATCTCAATGACATTCTTCAAAGAAATAGAAGAATTATTGATGAAATTCATATGCAATCACCAAAAACCCAAATAGCCAAAGCTCTCCTGAAAAAAAAAAAAGGGAATGGAGGAATCACACTCCCAGACTTCAAACTTTACTACAAAGCCATAATCATCAAAACTGTCTGGTATTGGAACAAGAACAGACACACAGACCAATGGAATCGAATAGAAAATCCAGAAATAAACCCACAGATTTATGGTCAACAAATCTTTGACAAAGGAGCAAAGAATATGCATTGGAGCAAAGAAAGTTTGTTCAATAAATGGTGCTGGGAAAACTGGGTCACTACATGCAAAAGAATGAAGCTTGACTACTACCTAACCCCATGCACAAAAAACAACTCAAAATGGATTAAAGAACTAGACATAAGACCTGAAATCATAAAATACATAGAAGGAAATATAGGTTAAACACTCCATGATATGCACATCAAAGACATCTTTACAGACACATCACCCAAAGCAGTGATAGTGAAGGCAAAGATAAACAGCTGGGACTGCATCAAATTAAAGACCTTCTGCACAGACAGTAACCAAAACAAAGATAAACCCCACTGACTGGGAGAACATTTTTGCACCCAATACTAATGATAAAGGACTGATCACAAAAATCTACAAAGAGCCGATGAGACTCAACAAAAACAAAGAAAATAATCCAGTCAAAAAATGGGCAGAAGAGCTAAAAAGAAACTTCTCTGAAAAGGAAATGCAAATGGACAACAGGCATATGAAAAAATGTTCAACATCACTTGTAATCAGGGAAATGCAAATCAAAACTATAATGAGATACCATCTCACACCAGTGAGAATGGCACATATTAAAAAAAACTAGCAATAACAATTGTTGGCGAGGTTGTGGAGAAAAAGGAACTCTCCTGCACTGTTGTTGGGAGTGCAAACTGGTCCAACCACTATGGAGAGCTGTGTGGAGATTTCTGGACCTACTAAACATAGAGCTTCCATATGATCCAGCAATTCCACTCCTAGGTATTTACCCAAAGGACACAGAAACATCAATTCCAAAGAGCCCCTGCACCCCTGTGTTTATAGCAGCACTATTTACAATAGCTAAGCTTTGGAAACAACCCAAGTTCCCAAAAATAGATGACTGGATCAAGAAGATGTGGTACATATACACCATGGAATATTACTCAGCATTCAAAAAGATAAACACGTGCAATTTGCAGCAACATGGATGGCGCTGGAAGGGATCATGTTCAGGGAAATAAACCAGAAAGAAAAAGAAAAATACCGGATGGTCTCACTCGTAGCAGGAATCTAGAAAACTTAAATAAGGGACCAGGAAAAAGAATAACTATATGAAAGAAAATATCAAAATCAAGAAACAACTATGAACCAGAGACATTCTATGGGGGTTGGGGGGCGGGGAAAGGAAGGCTTGGGGTCAAAATAAGAGGGTTGTAATTTTATGGGGAATATAAAAATAAAATTAAAAAAAGTAAAATTATTACTATTTGAAGATAAAACTGCATAAAAGAAAACCGAAAGTAATGAGAACTGACATTAGATATGGTTTGTCAGAGAAGACTGCCAGTCAAGTCTATATTTGTCTTCTTTTATTTAAAAAAAAAATCATGACTTTCTCATTCAAAACCAAAAATTTGCATGATTATATTTTAGTCTCTTTGCTAAGTAATGAGAGTTACAGAGATGATAAGAGAGAGTCCCTTCCCTAAGGGTAAACATAAGCTACTTTAAGAGAACGTAAGATACACAGTTATCAAAGAATCCCCAAGGAAAGAGTGAACAATCTTGACTGGGAGAGAAAGGTGAAAAGATAATTCATACAATGGCTGTTTAAGGATACAAGTTGAGGGCCCCCCTGGGGGTGCAGGCGGTTGAGCGCAGTGCTGTGGAGCTGTCCACAGCCTCTGCAGTGCAGGTTTGATTCCCAGTCGGCCAGCGAGGGTCCCACATGGCGCCGCAGACCTCTCCTGTCTCACCTGCTTCTCCTCTTGGCAGTGTATTTCGTCAGTCTGCCTGTTCTGCTCCCCGCTCTGTCTCTGGTGAATCCTCTCAACCTCCTGCACCTCTGGCCTCTACTCCTGTTCTTGTGTGCATGAATAAATAAATCTTAAAAAAAAAAAAAAGAATACAAGTTGAACAGGCAGATGCAAATGAAAATTGAGGAAAAGGCAGATACAAAATCACAGCAACATGAAATCGCAGTGGGGTAAGCACAAGTGTTAGGAAATTTAACGCAAATTCTTAAGCATCACCATCTGCTTTGAATCTTTGCTCCACCCTGTGAGACACCTCCTCTCTTCATTCCTTCTCAGCCTAACTATATTCAATGAGCATATATTGAATGCCTATGCCCAGCCCCAGGCATAACACAATGAATAGCCACATGAAGAATTCAGCATTAAACAAGACATGTGCCCTACACTTCAGGACCTCGGCACAAGGAACCTGTTCCATCAGGGCAAGTTTCATGAATTCAGAGGGAGCCCTGAACTGATGCAGAAGTGACCCACCCCTGAGCACTGTTGAACACATTCTGCTTCCCCAGGAAACTGCCTGCAAGTGCAAACCCATCACTGCCCTGCCTGCCTACCATGCCAGCTACACAGCTTAATCTGTAGAGAAAGCAAGAAATAGAACCTAACAAGTTCCTCCCCAACCTAGGTCTGTATTTCCTATCTTCAGTTGCTATGCCGCTCAACCTTATTCATATAGGATGCCTTCCTGAACATCACAGTTATCCTCCATTCCTTTCTCTGACTAGTCAATACATTAATTAGGGATCCCTATTAACCCTTCCCTTCCCAGTCCAGCCATTGTAAAGTAGGTTAATCTAACCTGAGTTCAGATTCAAATGGCTTAGTCCACGGCCCACTTGGGCCAGCAGCTTTAGCTAGAGCCTAACTGGACATGTCTGTGGAACATGATTCTGTATATGTGTACCAAGCCCCAGGCCCTGTGTCTCTACAATATTTATCTGATAGGTTTACTGGTGGGTATGGGAACAAAAAGTTCTACCATTTACTGAGTTGGGCAAGTTATTAAACACTTTTAAGTCTCAGCTGCCTCATTCACACAAGTGAATTATAACCTCTATCTCACTGTATTTATCTATTCCATTGAAAGTATAAATTGATAAATTTTATATAATGTGCCCAAAACAGAGCCTGTCATAGAGTAATCATTGTTACTATTGTTTTCTTCCTTCTATTTCTTCCTGGAACACCCAAAGACAGACAGTTAAAGTCCAGACACCTACTGTGCCCATTGCAGGTATTTTGTATTGACCCACCCACTGAAATGTAATAAAGACATATGCAATAGCTTTTTTAGGTAACAGGAAAATGTGGCTTTGTTGAGATAGCGCCTCTAGCTGTTCCACAAAACCAAACCTGTATATAAATAAAAAATAGGCTCTACACCTACCATTAAGCAAGTCCTGGGGGAAAAGGGTTCAGGTCTACAGCAGCAGGTACCCTAGAAAACAGCTTATTCCTGCTTCTCACACACTGTACCCACATCTCCTGTCAACATCTATCTGCAGGTCAATTCATATTTTTAGTTCTAGACATGGTTGTTGATTCTGAGTCTAAGGGTAATCTTAAACTGGAAGACAAGGGATATTACAAATAAGATTGACAAAAGTTCCTGACTGAGACATTTGAGAAGCTCAGTTAGCCTTGTATGGATAATTTAGTAAAGATAAAGGGCAGGTCCGTCTTTCTGAGTACTTTTGTTGGGAAAACAGAGATGTAATGATAGTGGACTGCAAGGAAGCCCCAGTGGGTAGGGCTGTTGAGAGAACAAGTCAGTCTTATGGGCGAGAGCAGGAAATAAAGTTCATGAAGTCTTGCTGTGGAGGATGCCTTCCAAATGGAACCCGGAAGGTCTTGGTTTAACAGGGACAACAGTTTAAATACATTAAGCTTGGCTGAGAATTATCTATCCTTTTGATCTCCAAGCCCCTCTTTAGGTAAGGAGTATTCTGTTTTCCCAGATTTACTTTATAGAATATGTAACACACATGACGTGTTTCGGACAGAATGAAAATATTCAAATTCCACAGAGAAATCCAGAATGGGGAGGCGTAGACAAAGTCAGCAAGGTGTCGTGACCTCAGGTAGAAAGAGTAGTCATGTCAGTATAGGAAGATCCAGGACTTTGGCTAAAAAGAAGTTAATAGCTGGAGCTGTTACAGAAACTTGACAGCTGAGTCAGGTGTGTACAGAGTTGATAGGCTTCATTGTAGAGGTGCTGGGAAGAAAGTGAGATTGGATCTGCTCTCAGAGGTACTCATGTAAGAAAGCAAAAAAAAAAAAAAACAATCTGTGGGTCTCATGAGCAGTAAGAATGAAAGGAAGCAGAGAGACGGAGGAAGGTGATCAAACAAAGAGGAAAAGAGCACAAAGCACAAAATTCTACATTAAAAAAAAAAAAGATTTCAAATGTAAATTGCTATTAGCCTTAGTAATTACTTTATAGACTCAGAACCACTGAACTTACAACCTAAATTACTTCATTTTAGGTATTCCAAATCGCTGTTGGCTGTGACACTTCTAAATACATTGCTATTAAAGGGCAAGTATATTTCCATTTGACCTGTCTCTTATTTTAAATGTTAATAACAAGTAACATTTATTGAACATTTTCTATTGCCAAGCCCTGCTTTTAATATAGTAAGTTAAATTAACCCCTGCGGTGAAGCTTTGAAGTAGGTGCTATTAGGACACTAGTTCACAATGACAAAGGCCCGTGTAATGTCACCTGCCTGAGATCACAAAGCTAGCAAGCAGCCAGAGGGAGGACTGAGCCCCAGCCACGGGCTCTTGAGTCTGTGTTGTGCTTTTGTTATCTATTGCCATCCTCAAAACTTAATGCTCCAAACCAACAATTTATTATTGTTTCTCAAGGTGTGTGAGGTAACTGGGCTCTCAAGTAGCTGTGATCAGATTGTGACAGTCCAATTGTGACAGAATCAACTGGACATATAAAATAGCTTCCCCCACCCCCTGATTTTGGCACCTCAGTAGGGATGGCTAGAGTATCCCTACTGCCTGTCCTCTAGGGGCTCCCTGCCCTCTCTTCTCTGTCTCCACACAGACTCTCAGTGTGGGTAGCTCAGCATCCTCACAGCGTCACAGGCTCAGGATCATGAGCTTGTGAAATCACTGGATTTCAGCTTACGTAGCAGCTGCCTTCCCTCTGTGTAAACCAAAGACTCAAGGAGCTGTAAAGTTTCAGGTCCCCCTCATGCCACAGGGGCTAAGTCTCGTGCTATCAAACTATCGCCAGCCACTCTGCATGAGTTTGATCCCCAGCCAAGGAGCTAACCCACATAGTACAGCAGACCCACCTGTTCTCCCCGCTCTGTCTCTGGTGAATCCTCTCACTCCCCTCCTCACACCTCTGGGTTCTTGTATGCACTCCCAGTTCTTGTATGCATAAATGAATAAAAATGATTTTTTTTAAGATTTATTTATTTATTTACACAAGCACTGGGTACAGTCAGAAGCGCAGGAGGGTGAGAGAATTCACCAGAGCCAGAGCAGGGAGCAGAACAGACAGACTGACGAAATACACTGCTGAGGGGAGCAGCAGGCGTGGCAGGAGAGGTCTGCGCGCCATGCGGGACCCTCGCCAGTGGCCGGGGATCGAGCCAGAGCTGCAGAGGCTGCCTGCGGGCAGCTTTGCACCCCAGCACTCAACTGCTGCGCCACCAGGGAGGCCCTAAAAATGATTCTTAAAAGAAAAAAGCTGTGAAGTTTCTATTCACCTGGCCTTGAAGGCTATGCAGCATCACTTTTCTACATCCTGTTGGAATTGGACCTGTCTTTTTAAGTTTTAAAACAAATAGTGAACTGTATGCTAATTACTAGTGATACTGTTAGTGTAATGACTGACATGCCCATAATAAATCCAAAATTGAATTTACATTGGTGTCCAAATACAAATTTTCAAAAATTGTCCAAGCCAAATTTGTTTGACCTTCGTGCCAAGTCAAATATTACATTTAAATCATAATATAAAAGGAAAGAATTAAACTTTTTCTCCATTACCATGATTTTTCTCCACCTTCCTTTTTAATAACCAACTTGCATCTTTCACCATTACCTCTCTCAGTTCAGTCTAAGTTCATTCCCAGCAAAATGAGAGTAGAAACACCTTTGTTTTCCATTCTACTCAAACCAGTTATGATTTCATTTCCATCAGATAATTGTTCACAATGCACATCAAAGAAGCATTAGTTTACTCCACCATTTTCTTTGGAAGGTTTTTTGGGGGCAGCCCTAAAAAACTATCAGTGTTTCCTCCAGAGAACCCCAAGGTGTCACTCACCTGCTACAGCTCTCATTCTTCTGCTTGGGAGAGAATCCATGTCAGCATATACCAGTCTTTCGTAACTGAGGTTAAAAGTACACGGACATACCCATGAATCGTGACTCCTATCCTGTGCTTAGGAGCGGGGGCGAGAATGGTAAATATTGACCCTACTTGAGTCTAGTTCTGAAATGACTTGCTCTCATCCAAAACAATATCCATTCCCTGTCAATCTAATAATCTTTTGAGTACTTTAATTGTGATCATTGTTGATTTGATAATTAAACATTCTCATCTTATTCATCCTTTTCCAGGAAAGACAAAGACTAACTGATTCATACAGACTATGGCATCCTATTTCAGGAATGGTTTCTCCCCAGACCATTTATTTATTCTTTTTTTCTAAATGAACCTGTAATATTCTTTTTATATATATTTTATTTTTTATTTTATTTTTAAATTTTTTTTAATTTTAACATTTATCATTTTTTACATTTTTTAGACAATATTTGCTTCCCCACACCCCCTCAGATTGAATCCCCATAGAATTTCCTTCCCCAAGGCACCCGTGCACCATCACCACAGTCCCCTGTGTTCCTCCCTCCCCCCCTTTCACCCCTCTCCCTCCTCCTCCCCTGCAGTATGTCTCTGGTTATAATTGTCTGTTTTTGCTTTGTTGCGGTTTGTACTGTTATTATTATTTTTTACACTGATGTCTTATTTGGTTCCCCTATATTCCTGTTATAAGTGAAACCTTCTGATATTTTTCTTTTTCCTTCTGTCTTATTTCACTGAGCATAATTCCTTCTAGTTCCATCCACATTGCTGCGAATGGCATGAGTTTATCTTTTTTGATTGCTGAATAATATTCCATTGTGTATATATACCACATCTTCTTGATCCAGTCATCTGTTTTTGGACATTTGGGTTGTTTCCAGGTTTTACCTATTGTAAATAGTGCTGCAATAAACATGGGTGTACAGGTGCTCTTTTGAATCAATGTTTTTGTGTCCTTTGGGTAGATACCTAGTGGTGGAATTGCTGGATCATATGGTAGCTCCATTTTTAGTAGACTGAGGAACCTCCAGACAGCTTTCCACAGTGGTTGGACCAGTTTGCATTCCCACCAGCAATGTAGGAGAGAATTCCTTTTTCACCACATCCTCACCAACATTTGTTGTTGCTTGTTTTTTTGATATGAGCCATTCTTACTGGTGTAAGGTGGTATCTCAGTGTGGTTTTGATTTGCATTTCCCTGGTGATAAGGGATGTTGAACATTTTTTCATATGACTGTTGGCCATTTGCATTTTCTCTTTGGAGAAATGTCTTTTGAGTTCTTCTTCCCATTTCTTGACTGGATTGTTTATTTTGTTTTTGTTGAGCCCGTGTGAGTTCTTTGTATATCTTTGTGATCAATCCCTTATCAATTGAATGGAGTGCAAATTTTTTCCCAGTCAGTGGGGGTGTCTCTCTGTTTTGGTTAATGTCTCTTTGGCTGTACAGAAGCTCTTTAATTTGATGTAGTCCCAGCTGTTTATCTTTGCCTTCACTATCACTGCTTTGGGTGATGAGTCTTTAAAGATGTTTCTGAGATGTATGTCTTGTAGTGTTTTACCTATATTTTCTTCTATGTATTTTATGGTTTCAGGTCTTATGTCCAGTTCTTTTATCCATTTTGAATTGATTTTTGTGCATGGTGAGAGGTAGTGGTCTAGTTCTGTTTTCTTGCATGTGGAGGTCCAGCTTTCCCAGCACCATTTATTAAACAAACTGTCCGTGTTCCATTGCATATTCTTTGCTCTTTCTCAAAGATTAGTTGTTCATATAAGTGTGGCTTTATTTCTGGGCTCTCTATTCAGTTTCATTCGTCTGTGTGTCTGTTTTTGTTCCAATACCAAACTGTTTTAATTATTATGGCTTTGCAGTATAACTTGAAGTTTGGAAGTGTGATGTCTCTTTTCTCCTTTGCTTTCTTCAGTAGGGCTTTGGCTATTCATGGTTTTTTGTGGTTCCATATTAATTTCATCAGTATTTGTTCTATTTCTTTGAAGAATGTCATTGGGATTTTTATTGGAATAGCATTGAATCTGTATATTGCTTTTGGGAGGATGGCCATTTTAATAATGTTGATTCTTCCAATCCATGAGCAGGGGATGTCTTTCCATTTCTTTGTGTCTTCTTCAATTTCTTTTAACAGTGTTTTATAATTTTCTTGTATAGGTCTTTCACCTCTTTTGCTTGGTTTATTCCCAAGTATTTCATGTTTTTTGGTTTCAGTTATAAAAGGGATGATTTTCTTCATTTCTTCTTCTTCTGATTTATTGTTTGTGTATAGGAAGGCTACTGATTTTTGTGTGTTGATTTTGTATCCTGCTACTTTACTGAACTGGTTGATTATTTTGAGTAGTTTTTCTGTGGAGTTGTTAGGGTTCTCTATGTATATTATCATATCATCTGCAAATAGTGATAGTTTTACTTCTTCTTTCCCTTTTCCTTGTATGTCTTTATCTTGTCTTATTGCCCTGGCTAGGACCTCCAGTATTATATTGAAGAGCAGTGGTGAGAGAGGACATCTTTGTCTTGTTCCTGATCTTAAAGGAAAGGCCTTTAACTTTTTGCCATTGAAAATAATGTTGGCAGTGGGTTTGTAGTATATGACTTTTATCATGTTAAGGTATGTTCCTTCTACCCCACGAATTTCAAGGAACGTCATCATAAATGGATGTTGGACTTTGTTGAATGCTTTCTCAGCATCTATTGATATGATATTATGGCTTTTATTTTTCTTTTTGTGGATGTGTTGGATTACCCTTATCAATTTTTGTATGTTGAACCATACTTGTGCCCCTGGAATGAATCCCACTTGATCATGGTGTACTATCCCTTTGATGCATTGTTGGATTCTGTTGGCAAGGATTTTGTTGAGGATTTTTGCATCAGTGTTCATTAGGGAGATTGGCCTGTAATTTTCTTTTTTTGTGCTGTCTTTATTTGGTTTTGGTATTAGTATAATGTTGGCTTTGTAGAACATATTTGGTAGTACTCCTTCTTTTTCAATTTTTTGAAAGAGTTTGTGAAAGATAGGCACTAATTCACTGCTGAACATTTGATAGAATTCATTTGTGAAGCCGTCTGGGCCTGGGCTTTTGTTTTTGGGGAGTGCTTTGATTACTGCCTCAATTTTGCTGCTTGTAATTGGTCTGTTTAGTTCTTCTATTTCTTCTTTGTCCAGCTTTGGATGATTATATCGTTCTAGGAA